TAAGTAGACTTGTCTAGTGGTGGCCACTAGACAGTGACTCCGTAGAATAACGTGAGTATTTGCTTGGTGGTGTAAGAAGGTTACGACGTGGTGATCGGCAAAAAATTTGGGCTTAGATCATATATTGCCTGCTTTGTATAGTCAGCACACAATATATGATCTAAGCCCAAATTTTTTGCCGATCACCACGTCGTAACCTTCTTACACCACCGTGTTCAGGTTCATATAGGTATGTTTGCTATCTAAGATTATGTCTAGGTATTTAACCTAAAGCGCGATCTCTATATCTTACAGTAAGGTTGGTTTGAAAGCAGATGGTTTGTACCTTCAAATGGAGAGTATTAGTTCATTCTTTTACATCCTATGGTCTAGAGCTGTGCGTGATACTGTGTGAAAGGCAAATTGAAGCCTAGGAGCTAGTGGAGCTTTTCAGTGGCCCAAGCCATATTTATAAGCTTACGAAGTATGTTGTTGACTGTGAGACACCATAAAAGAGGATGCCTCTATTGGCATACCTGGTAACTTATACGCCTCCAAAATCAACGATAATTTCTCGGTTTGTTTAAAGAGATTTCACGAGATTCACTACTCGGAGTGCAGACGTAAGGCATTGTTAAAGAATTAACGGTATGTTAAATTTAAAAATTGTTCTAAAAATAAGTCATATAATAAATTTCTGCTCATCTATGAAGTTAAATACAATAGTTTGTTCTTATTCCTCAAGCTTATCAACATTCGTTCGTCACAGAAGCCGATTGGTTAGACGGTAATGGTCCTACCAATATTAAAAATTGACTTTTTAGACAATTTTTAAATGTTTTTTAGATTACAAATTAAATATTTAATAACTTTTTTTTTACATTTCTCAGCATTATCTTCACTTGCAGGTACATATATACAGTTACATTTGTATGAATATAAAATTTTTTTTGTAATATTATTATTTTTTTTAAGATCAAATATCGGTACACCCTAATACGCACAATTACATGCATGTATGTATATACATATGTGCACAGAACAATGCACAATTAACATTAAACTATTTTCTGCGCCATTAATTTCCCTGCTGTTGAAATATGATGAATGGAAATTTATTCAAGTTTATGTAAGAAAAAATTAGTCCGGAGGCTCGCAAACAATGATAAATACATATGTACATGTAGAATAAGAATGTGATATTTTTTTTTACGAATTTTTATCATTTCATTTGTATAATATAAACAATATACCTTTCTTTTTCTTCATATGCACCAGCTTTCTTTATTGTTCCGTGACTGTGCTGCGCATAAAGAGTTTAGATTCTGAGGATGAGTGTCTGGGTAAGCAAAAAATAAAAGAGCTGGAAAATCGTTTCCTGAATGCTACGAGTGTTGGATTTAGGGGAGGCTATACCTGTATACATACATATGTACATATGATTATTCGCAGAGAATTTTCTTTCTCTTAATGCGTTGCAATAATTTCTTTGTTGTATAATAATAAAGAAATTTCTTTTTACGGCTTACTTCTGACTGACAGTGCGTTGCATTTTTCTGAAGTGGAAGATCACTATTAAATTTATTATACTTAAGGGAAGTACGCATTTTTCTTTGTTTTTAGGGTAAATGTGCTAGCTACCGGATGATCAATTTCATGCCTAATCTTCTTTCATACTTAATTAGATATCTTTAATGGGGGAGCGCTCTCAGCTACAATTTGAGTGATTTTGAGTAAGTTTTTTATCTAGTCATTTTTCTCTTTCGAAAACTATTAACGCTTACTCATCAGATGTTAACATCGTTCACGCTTCTGCGTCATATAGTAGGACGGGTATGATGAGGGACTTGTAGCGGTTGTACGTAAAAAATCTAAAAGAAGATCGCTTTTATAACCTAAATATAAAACGGACCTTACAAAACTTCCTGGTGGAACTCCAGCAAATATTCCATCGTATAGAGTAGTTTCGATTTATTGCCTAATTCGAAATCTTCTGCCAATAAGTAAGCTTTTTAGTGCGGCAGGTTTGACGTGTACTTTGTACCCAGCCCAACTTTATCAAATGCCTCCTGATCAACTTCAAGAAACAATGTAGTGCAATATTGCTTGTTTTCAAAGACAGATCTTATGGGTGTTACGATTCTATGCAGCTGCTCTATTGTTTTGCGCCTTTCTCCATACCCGAATTGATAACATTGCATGACCTATTTCGATTCTAAAAGTGGTTGTACTTTTTTTATAGTAGCCTACTAAAGTTGGATCTTTACCTGTTTTAGGAATAATATTATATATTTTATCTTTATATATAATATTATTCCTAAAACAGGTAAAGATCCAACTTTAGTTCTCATCCTTTTTGTAAAAAAAAACCTTAGTACAGTACCGTTACCAGGTAGTGCCCGTTCACTAGCTCACTTACTCTATGTAGTATGTAGTGACAATATATAATACATAGATTTTATTAAATATGTTACACACATTTATGTGCGTACTCGAAGCTCGTGAGATCTAAACAAACTAACAAAGAGAATCTCTTTATCTTATGAAACTCAGCATTATGTTCTATAAATGATTTATTACTTCCTTAGAGTGCGCAAAAAATATTAAATAAATAATATTTTGGTTATATTATATGATACATAGTATGTATGTATGTACGATTAGTACATTAACTATTGTTTTCATTAGGTCTTCGAAAAAGCAGTTTTCATTGATCATTTAGTCGTCAATTAAATAACTAAAGTTTACCCGCGACTTCTCCCTCATGGAGTTTAGGAAAGTCTTTGATACAATTTTAAATAGGATTTTTAGCAAATTTAATTTATTTATTTATTTCAAATGTACATGAATTATTATGTGAAATTTTTTCAATACTTATAAAATATAGTAAAATTTATTATAATGTAGGGACTTAAAGCTTAAGTAAACAAATATAAATAAAACAAAAATCTAATATATTTTTTTATGAAAAGCAAAGTCCTACAACCATAGCGTGGTTTCTTTGTAGACAATATTTTTTTTTGTTTTTCTTTGTATGCTGGAATCAGCAAGCTATTTTATGAGATCATTCTGGAGCATGTCTACTCCTGCTACCCTGAAGAGTTTCGCCTTGAATGCTATGCGAAGAATTATATTGTTACTCAGTACCGGGAAATCACTTTTTCCTATTTTAGCAGCAGCAGGTCTGAGATCTATCGGGCATCAAATGGACTCTTATATACATATTTGGCAAGACTGAGTTTTTATATTTTTACTTCATCCACTTGCATTACCCTGAGCACCACTGGTAAAGTTTTCTGTTAATAATTGTCTGTTAACAACATAGTGACTCTTCCCTTTCATTTGATTGTTACTTCTAATAATATGTAATGATCGATTTCGTGCTTCGAAACCTACTTTATGTGTCATTGTAATAGTTTTTTAAATACGTATGCAATTCGTTTTTTTTTTTTTTGCTACTTTTTCCTATTTCAGTTCCGTGTGCGAAATGGTAATGTGGGCAAAAATGAGTCAACATTTTTTTATTCGATTGTTCCCATACCCACCTTTTGGGAGAAAAAGAGTGTACCCAGTGACTTTTTAGAAATCATACGATAAATAAATATTTTACGAATAGATTAGTAACCGGTCCATTTCACGAAATAAAAACTATTAATCATATCTATCATACGATTTAAATTCTATTTTTTCGCATAGATCGGTCACAGGCACAGTCTTGGGAAATTCCTTTCTTATTGGATGCATACGTCAGACGTAAAATACGCCCTCCCAGTTTTTAGGTCGCTACGATCAAGGCTATAGGTTTTTTTTAAATTATATATATGTACATTTTCTATACCGACATTTGGACGCGGCGAGTGGTTAGCATTGCGATCAACATCAAAAATTGCAAAAAACGAATTTTTCTAATTGTCATCATCCCTCGGCGGGAAAAACAGTAAGACGTATACTTGTACCACAAATTGGAGGAGGAGCACGACCACCAATTGAAATGCCGAAAAATTCAGAAAAATAATAAATATGCCAAATAAGATTTTCATAAACACCTTAACGATTGATAAGTGTTTAGGACAAATTTTAGATCAAATTATTGGAAAGATATTAATCGAAATGTAATTAATAAAAAATAATAATAATAATAATAATAATAATACATGTAAATCAATTTTGAACATTCAATTATTAGTTGACAAATCAATTTCCAATTAGTCACTTTTGGATTATTTTTCGAAAAATTTATTTAAATTTCTAGTCAAGTCACTTAAAAACATTTAATTATAATCCACTGCTTTTTTTTACTAAAAAATCCAAAATCATCAAATAGACAATAAATTGAATCAAAACGAATGAATAATTGCATAACTTAACGAAAAAAATATATATGTACATATATTTTGATCGTGCAGAAATCGTGATGAACAGCTGATTGCTGACAATCGAGTTGAGCTAAGGCGTCCGGCTATTGCTCGGTACCTGTCGTTGATCTTTCTGCTGCAAACAATTGCAAACACGACGAAGCTTGGCGTCTATTGGAACGTTATTATTTACATTCAAAATATATGTATGTACATACATATTTGCCAACTCACACTACATAGTATTGTAGTTCGCGGCTAGAGAACCTGTGCCAAACGCCAATGTCAGCGTTTTGCACTTACATACATACAATCATTTTCTTGGCCGTTTAGTCGATCGTGTGCATTGGCGCTGCAAACAACAATAAAATACGCCAAAGAACGGCATGAAAATATTTCGGTAAAGGGTTTGATTTATCGTAGGATGCGTCGCGCTAACGAACGTAAATACAAAGAAAAATATTTATAAATAATTTCAAAGGTGTTAAAAGAAATTCAATAGAAAAATATTTTGTTTTGTTCATACAAATATTTTAATATATTTTTAAGCAAAAATATGTAGTATCTGAAATTTGAAATATCTTCAAAAATTTAATATAATTGAAAATAGTTTTTTTCCACTATTTATTACTAAATTTGGTGTTTAGTGTTTGCGCGTGCAAATAAAAAAACAACAAAAATAAAAAATAAATAAATAAAGTAAAAATTAGTAAAATTATGCTCTTGAGTTGTTCAAAACTTTAGTGTTATTTTGTAAAGTAATGCAAAGTCGTCGCTGTTATTAAGTAAGTTTCCAGGTAAACAAAACATTAAAACATTTAAATATTGTGAGCAAAAGTGAATTAAACTGAATTCAGCTAAAACAACAGTGCGCTCTGCAGTAAGAAGTGACGTCGAAATGCTTGAGCGTGTATTAAACTAGACCAAATTCATGGCGATAGGAATTGATGATCGTGCAAATTTCGTGTGTATATACATATGTACGTATTATATGTATGTTATTGAGAACTGCTACAAATTATATTTATTCCTTTTCTCTTTCTTATTTTTAACTCACAATATTTCGTACTTAAATTTGTGTTCTTTCCTTTCGCTGATGCAATTTATGCGCTGAGCTGAAGCAAAATTTTCCACTATTTATATTTGATTTTGGCGTGTGGGGCGTAAATATGTACATAAGTGCCGGTCCAATATTCATGAGCCTCATTCACGGGCGCGGAAAAAACAAAAAAAAAATACATAAATAATTATTTTAATATATGTACAACGGAAACATTATGTTCAAGAGTGCTTATTGAATGAAATGTCATAAATTATTTTTCCACATGGATTATGTTTGAACTTCTTCACAAACGATTATTACCACTTACATGAAAGTAACAGCCAAACTCTAGAAATATGGTGAAATGGAAATGAAATAAAAATCGAAAATTATATATATATTTTCTTTGATGTTCTGCAAAGGTTGCGATTTGGTTTTTCATTTCGATAGGAACTTTCCAACAGCTGATTAGAGATAAGTTTAGGTCATGGTGAAGTTAAATAGTGATCTTGACAAAATCTACAGTCTTATTGGACAACTCGATTGCAATTCATCCAAAGCCGAACCGAATAGATCGGTCTCAGTTATCAGATGCCTACGCAATATCCAGTTTCAGATTTCTACGATTATCATGAATTTCCTATTTGAGGTCTTGAATCGACGTTGCTCTATTGGCGTGTACCTAAACTTTCACCTGGCTCCAAAGCAGGAAGTTCCAAGGTACTAAATCACAAGATCTCGGTCCGCAAACATTTCCCTTAAAAGAGCGTTGGTTTCGTTGCTTGTGTGACACGTATGGCCGTCTTGTGGAATGTAAGCTTTCTCCAGATTGTATCATATAATTCCCCCTATAGAAAATCATTATTTATCTCTCGTTAGCGCAATTCATTTACCACAACAGTAACAGTTATGCTTCAGACTGATTTTCGAAATTATAAGGTTCAATGACCCCGCCGGACCCCAAACCGCGCCAAACAGTTTCACGTTGAGGATAAAGAGGATTTTCAACAATAAATCTTTGGTTTTCCGAGCCCCAGATGGAATAGTTTTGCTTATGTGGAGAGATGTAAATGAGCCCCATAAGCCAAGATAATTTTTCAATGAAATTCCGGATCATTTTCATGCATTTCAAGGGCCCAATCAGCGAAGAAACGACGTTGTTGATAAACTTTATAAGCCTTAAGACCCAAATCTTTATGAAAAATACGATATAATGACGTTTGTGGGATGCCCAATGCCAAGGAATGACAAGGAGTGGACAAACCAAGGTTTTCTTCAGCACTTTGAGCTACAGCAGTAATAATCCCAATTGTTCTTGACCGGCGTGCACGTGTATTATTCTTCACATCACTAACTTGGCCCAACAGCTCCATTCTGCCACCGATCCGACAAAATAGCCACTTTTATTAATAATTGAATATAAAAATTACTCTCCAAATTTCCTTTTTTTTTTAACAATAACAAAATAAGACAGCGGAAACAGTCAGGTGACACCTATTGATCACACCTATGGACCACACCTCGTAATGATTACACAATGAATTTTAGTTAAATAAAATTTTCTATAAAATTAACTCAAATTTATTGTTTACGACACAATGAAATGTCGATTGGGGCAAGGAACGGTGCTTTGTGGAACCACTCAACTTGATTGTTCTTTGGCGCTCTTCAAGATCGCAAAATACAATTTTGTTCATGAGGTTTATACAAAGCGCGCATAATATTTAAAAAAATATTACTTTCACTATCGCGTATACCACCAACATCTACACACATAGTTAAATCCGCAACATTAATGTACTTGACAAAAATCTCATTTTAGCATCTGAGTTCTTGTGGACTCTAACCAACAAATACTTTAATCTTTAAAATGTATTAACTATATATTATACTTCAATTTTTGGGCGTTCGTTCGTCAAATCCACACTGTCAGAAAATTACTGATCTTCCGTGTTTCTTTCTTGAGACACCGTAGCAAATTGACGAGAATTCGGCCTTTTTTTTTATCGATTAAGAGGTTTTCCCGCAAGCAGGTCGAAACTAAGTAGGATAAGTTTTTTGGCCAAAAATAATTTGACAGTGGTGATAACCAGGCAAACACAGCGTTTTTCGGTCTTCGTGAATCAACTTGTTGGAACATAGTATGACGACGCTCTTTCGCTACCCACACATATGCATATATATTTCTCACAGATTGCAAGTAGAAAAAGCAGCCCTGTGTCATCAATCGCTCTAACCCCTGCGGGTTACGGGTTCAAGAATTTACCCGCGGTAAGGCATGCCTGACGTAAGGGGCGACTAAAATCCAATAGTTCCCGCGACAGTCTGGTCTTTATTACCGGAACGAACCGGATTTTTATCCGGCCAAGGGCTTGCACTCCCGCAACATTCCCCAAAAAGTTGTTTCCGGAATATTTTTGCGGTTACGACAACAACAGCAATCGCTCAACGAATTTTCTTGTGATATTTTTGCATGGACTGCATATTTACGAGTCTAAAAGAATTCCCCTATTATTTATCGCTCCAATATTAATGAGTAGAAGGATTCTGTTTTTACTGCAATAAACAAACATATTTATAAGTTTGTATATATGAGCAAAAATAATACTACTAATACGTTTGTTTTTTCTTAAATAACCAAACTGAAGAGCCATCGAATTATCTATCTACAATTTCCTTTGCTAGTATACTCGTACATATGTATATTGTACATAGATGAGTTAAACGTTACGAATCCCTTTGTTTTGTTGGGTATTATGGAATTTAAATTAACTCAATTTACCATCTTCTATCTGTATGTGAATAATAATGACGATTTTGCTTTTTCCTGCCACTGGCAAACTTACGTTGTGTTCACGTTTTTCATGAGTGCGCAAAGCGACAACGGACGGTTTGCTATTTGCACTCCACCACGGGCTCCAATAAACCACGTTGCGATTAATGTTCGCTTCGTCATGCCATGTAAGGTTGTTGTAACAGCGTTTAGAGCTGTAAGAGTCACACTTTCTTATCTATTTATATATCCTGTTCGAACTGACTTGCACTAGCGTAGAGTGGATGTGCTTTTGCTGACGTTATGTACACTGAGAAATTCTTTTAAAAGCTATTTACATATATGTATGTAATAAAAAAGGGTTAAATACATGTTCATTTAAATACATGCTTTGCCTGAAGGCTTTATGACTACTTATAAATGCTGCATTGCCTCATTATTTAATTTAATTTTAATTGTTTTTATTTTATTCGGATTTATTGGGTCGACTATATCATATATGTATGTAGCAGCTATACAACTTATTTGTTCAGACACGTGATTTCGAATCATTATTTCTTCAATAAAGCATTTTAGAACATGAAAATAAGTATTCTATACTCATATAATACATGAAGGGGTAAGGCCACTATAGATGCTTCAAAAGTTGATTTTTTTTATTGACTAAAAATATTCTTTGAATCTTCTAGAACAAGAAAATAGATGTCTTATACGTGTTCGAATTCGATCTCATTGAAATTACGAGCTTTTTTACCGAGCGCACAAGGCCGCTCCGATACATATATATTTTATATGTTTCAAAACTGAAATGCATCTTTCTCGAATAACGTTTTTTTAAGTTGGCTCGCAGCATAACTCAAACAATTTTCAATAATTTCAACTGCTTTTTTCCTTACACCTTTTTTAATATTATTCAAAAGAGAATGTTGGCGTACGGGATTTTCGATAACATAATTTAAACAATATTTATGAACAATTAGATATCGTTTTTTTGGTCGAAAAAATAGTTTTTTTTTTTCAAATATCATTCCCTAGCTATTCTCGTGTAGATAAACAAAAAAAAATTATTTTTTTGCAGATTCTATTTTACAGCCTGTGTGCTGCAAACCGCGGAGCTCCTAGAAGGAAATCCACTTTACAAAAATGTCCATAGTTCCGCCATTTTGATATACTTGTTTGTTGTAAGTCATTTTTTTTCTATTATAAACATTTTCATTGTATTGTCTTCTTTCCTCTTTCTTGAAAAAGGCGTTTACAATGTCCTTACCTCTTAAACATTGGTGCTGAAAATGATCGAAACCAGACCATTATAACAGCCGAGTTTTCAGACCGAGTTTTCAGACTCGAATGTGTCTAGATTTTGCCGTCCTCAGAGCTGGTACTTTTTTGCATTTGGACTTACATCTACATCCATATAAAGTCCAGCTCACATAGCAATTGAGACCAGCTGGTCATTCACAAGGCCGGACATATGTGGATTGGTTGCTTGACCAAGAAGCAGTGGACGGTGATTTTTCGAACGAAGTTCTCTTTAGCGACGAGGCTTATTTTTCACTCGGATTTAGGGCGCCGAGTATCTTCAAATAATTGAAGAGAGACCATTACGCCCAAAAAAACATACTCTCTGGAGCGCTCTTTGGACTTTGAGGTATGATTGGACCTTATTTCCTTCAAAATGACAACGTTGAGACTGCCACTGTTGAGTCGGAGCGTTATGGTCGCATGATCACGAACTTAAAATGGATCGCGAGGTTTACATTTGAATGACAAAGTGTCTCGCATATAATACCAAGGTTCAAATTTAATAAGATAAATAGAATTTCATTTCTGAAACCGCATAATTGTTAACCGTATATATATTTACATAACTATATGTTAATAGTGACCACGGTTGCCGAGTGGTTAGCATCGCTTACTGCCATTCGGAAGGATCGGGTTCAAGTCCCCATGCGACAAACATCCAAAAGTTAAAGAAAATTTATTTAAATAAAAAATTAACTTAAATTTTTCCGAGTGTATTTCTGACATGAAATAAAGCTCCTCATAAAAAAAACATCAGCCGTTCGGAGCCGGCTTAGTATAAACTGTAGGTCCCTCCATTTGATGGAAAAACATCAAGATGTAAAACCACAAATTGGAGGAGGAGTTTGGCCGAAAATCGTTTCAGCGCTTTTTATGCTTTTTTCTTTACATTTCGTTAAAAGTGTATAAAATAAAAAAATAAAAATTTTTCGAAGTACATAGCTTTACTTCTTCAAGATTACGTCCGCAATCAAACTATTAAATCTCTTTACACTGATAAATTAACCCACCATATCTGTTGCTTAGCAACAATCCTACTCCGAGATACAAATATTCATTCAAAATAAACAACAATTATCAGTTCTTGCTGGCACTTAATAATTTCGCAATCGATGGTGTCAGAGAATCTGAAGTACTTATCGAGGCTGTCGTCGCTGGTAACCGATGACACGTTGTTAAACAGCTTTGAACATTACAAGTACTCGTACATTTGTACAAAATTACTAAGAGCAGTGGTGTGCTAATATTCACGCTGTCTTTCCTAGAACATTTGCCAATTACTCGCTCCGTTCATTGATTTTTAGTTTGTTTGGCTTATATATTAGATAATTGGTGCTTTCTAACCGCCTAGCTTCTCGCGCAATTTGTGTTATGTGTCTTGATGTCTCTTCAAAAAATGGAGAGACCGACAGTTTATACTAAGCCGGCTCCGAAAGGTCGATGCATTTTATGAGGAGCTTTTATTTCATGTCTAAAATAAACTCGGAGGACTTGACATTCCCTGCCGCGGTACAACCGCAAATAGAAAAATTGATTTTCTATAAATTTGTCGAACCAGGTCTCGAACTCTGGCTTTGCGAGTGATAGTAAGAGATAGCTAACTACTCGGCTATTGCTACTCCTTATAAAATTCAACGCTTTGTTCGGAGACGGCTTAGAATAAACCGTATGCCAACGACTTCTTCTCATCTATGTCTCTGGAGCCGCGACAGAAACATTAGGAAAATAGTCCATCCTCTTACCATGAGTCCTCATTAAACAGTGTCCGGTAATTGGGCCGATTGTTATGCTCGTGGGAAGCTGTTTAGAAGAAGAAGAGACTTAGTTCTTTTAGTGGTGATCAATGACCAGATCTGGCTGGTTTCACCCAGCCATCTGCTATTGGACTTGCTGATGAAGGCCGATCCCATCATATATTTTGTAGAGGAAAGAGATATGCCCTCATGATGTGCAGAGTTTACCATGGTTAGGATTGTACCCTTTATTGCTTGCTAATACTAATGCCTGATTTTTAACCAAAACAAAATATTGTTGCGAAAATGCGAGGCGAATGTCTGATGAAAGAGAGAAGCCGATAACTAGTACATTCTGGAAACGATAAAACAAGAACCTTCCATAGGGAACAATTCGATGCTTCTACGCTTTCGTCTGCGAGCAGCCGACTGCTATATAAGGGGACACTCAGCTGCAAGTCAAGTTAGTTACAAAGTGAACTGGTTGGCGTTAACATCAGTAAAGTAGTAAAGTAAACGCGTTGGAGATTACATTTAAGTAGAGTAAATTGTGAAGGTTGATGTTAGTGATTGTAAATAGTAAAGTGCATTGTAATTGAATTGTGCATTACGGAGTAAATAAAGGACATTAGATAAAATCTTTATAACGAAAGATACTGCAAATTAAGTTGGCGAGTTTTTATTTAACAATCCAGAGATCGTACCCGAAGGATTTAGGAAATAATCGAGGTTGATTTAGTAAAATCGTAACAATATATTTTGTTTGTCAGTTAAATTTGACAGTTGTCAAAATACAACCCTGTACGTTTGAAGCCCCGAAAGGGATAACCAAATATTTTATAGGTTATAGGTTCTTCGGGTCAGTGGAAAAGACCACTTGTCTATAACGTATGAATTGTTCGCGTATGCCGAATGGATAGCTGTACGTGCTATCATGCTGAAGGTGAAGGGTTTACAAAACTGTAGGTATAGGTAGTTAGTGGTAAGTATGTAGTATGTATATTCATATTGAAGGTTTTAAGGTTTTACCCATTTATTTCACCCAATCTCGAAGCGCTCTTCAGATATTTTGTGATACGTTTACTTGATTTCCAATGAACGAGTTTCGCATTCAATGGAATTGAGGAAACAGCAATAGATTTCTCTATAACTGCATATTGTCAGCATAGATTTTGGTGGTGAACAAGAATCGTAAAAGAAACTACAACGACCAAATACACGATTTTATACGATTGGGCACATGTGTAGATATGTATGTATAAGTTTTCGTATACATATGAATATTACTTAATTTATTCCTCAATTGTTTTAATTATTTAATGTTTAACTTGTTGGTGATTAATTGATTTGTGAGTGCATACACCCCAAGCAAATCGAGCAATTCGAGCAATGAAACTGTGAAACTTAAATAAATTCGTGCTTATTTTTATCTCAAGGCTGGTGGAAGTAAATTATTTAAATATAGTTGCGTTTGCATTGTAATTTAGATATTTTTATGAGTACATATTTGAGAACTTACGTATTGGTAGAATTAAATATAATTTTCAACGCTTCTTGGACAACAGCGGCAAACAATAGAATTATTTATACATATTTACTCTTTGTACATTTGTACATAGAGAAAAATCATTTGATTCACGTGAATAATTCAAAGTGTTGCATTGAAAATGATTGGATGTATTTTAATCGGCCGAAGTGTAGATGTTTTTTGTTGGCACACTGGCCAAATATTTGTTTGGGTATTTGGCGATTTTTTGTTGTCGAAAGAAGTAGATCAAGAGATCAGAACAAATGCTAATCACTTGTAGCGATATCAAAACTATAAGATAGATGCATAGGAACCTACCAACCAAACTCTCGGAGCATCAGGCGAGTCACTGCCGATGTAAGTGGTTTGGTGTCATCTTGATGAAATACAATTCCAATCCTGGTGGTCAAAGCTGTACGCTTCTGTGCGATTGCTTCTTTCAAACGGTTCAATTGCTGACAGTATAGGTTCAAATTAAAAGTTTACCCATAGGGGAGCAGCTCCTGATTCCTTGCCAATCCCGCTAAACACGTAAAAAAAACTTTCACTGCCCCGCGACTGCGCCCGTTTTTGTTTGACGTTGCGTTAATGTTAGTGATCTACTTTTCATCAACAGTTATTGTAGCATCCGCTACAGAATTGCGTCGATTTTTCTTAGATGGATATTCGGTCCATGAGGTTTTTTCTCGTTAACTAATGTGGTACCCATACATCGAGCTTCTTTGCCCCCCTGCAGGGATTGCTAAATTATACAAGTGTACTTCTGACGT